TTTGCTGCAAGGCAGCAGGGCTACCCACTGACCCACTGGGCAGCCCTGTAACTAGCATCTTGCTTTTCAAATATGCAATAAAAAATTTACAACCCTCTGAAACTGAGAGTTTTGTTACAGAAATATACTCATATGTAAGGTCAAGAATATTTAACTTACACAAACATGCTCAAAGCAACTTCTGGGCGAGGGTCAGAACACAAACAGCCACTTAATCTTTGAGCAGTGGTGTAAAGAGCCTCTATTTTAATGAAAAAAAGCATGTACAAATATAGCATTAATAGTAAAAGTACATTATGTTGTACCGCATTAGTATTTGCACTGAAAAAAAGATAAGGTTGGTATGATTTGTAAGCAACAAATACACAGTATTTCATATAGGCTACACCACAGAAGTCCTGCTGTGAGCTACAGTGCGCATGCGCTGTGTATGCGTTTCAAAACGTTACATTTCAGAGTAAAGTTTATGTAGTATTTCTGTGTATTATTGTAGTATTATTCATGTATTACATTAAAAAGTTTTAATTTTACTTCAGAAACTCTAGTTTTTACTAAAACTTAAAAATACAGACTAGAAATTATGACAAATATCATATAACAAACAGTTATATGATATTTTTCATTGCCAATTTGTTTAATGGTATTATCAGGAAAATCTGTACATCAAAATGATCAGTCCAGCAGAATGTGAGTTACCATGTCTAACAAAAATAATATCACCCCACTATAACTTCCAAAATTGTTCATCTTCCTCAGTAGAGCGAGTATCTTACAATAAAAAAAAGCTTTACTCTTTGCAATATTCTAAAGGCCTCTACTGTTTTTTGAGATTAAAAGAGAACGCCAGTTTTTTTACATTGAGTCCTTGATTTTAGGTTATCACATCATGTTCTACTCACCCATATGAGTTTTGTGTCATTTGGAGCTGTTCTGAAGACATTCCGTTAGGTTATATCCAACTAACGTCTTCCTTTGGGCAACGAGTTGAAGGCACAAACTAAACTGTTCATAATTTATTCTTTATGGTACGCCAGCATTCATAACATCACTGTCCCCCTGTTGGGATCTGGAGCTGTACCACCTTCCTCCAGCAGAGTGCGCCGTGGGTCTCCTGGAACTGGAGTCTTCCAGCACACCTGAGACACATCTACTCATCAAGAGANTCAGTTAGGGCTTTGCTGTAACAAAAAATAAAATATTAAACTACAAGTCTACAATAAATACTTTGACCCTGTTAAGGTCATTTGCTATTTTATCAAAGACCTGTCCACTATTTAAACAAAGAATAGTTTTAAGGTAAATTTGAAATTTTCTGCAGATTTCCAAATAAAGGGTAAGGAATAATTTCTGTGATCAGTGTTTTATAAGTACAAATAAAAAATACTTAAATAAACCTTTTCCAAGAGGAAAATCTGAAATTAGTCTCCTTCCAAGTTTCAGGAAAGAGCCCAACAATATAATTCTCAGAATTCCTCAACTTTTGAGTCTCCTCATGATCCCAAGCAGAGAAATCAGAGAGCTCTCCCTATGAGGTCAGTTCTCATCACGGCTTCATTATCCTTTTTTGGAAAGCATTTAACACATTATCATTCAAAGCCTTAAAAATGTATTAAAAATGATAATTTAATGCCAACTATGAAACAAGGAGTCTTTACATTATTACCCAAAACCAGGAAAAGACACATTGATAATCTGAGGCCAATAACTTTATTGAATGCAGATTAAAAATTATTCACCCTTATTTTTTCCAATCAATTTGGGACAGATAGTGTTTGATCAGGATTAATTAAGGACTGGTTTATACACAACAATATTAAGTTAGTTCTCGACTTCATTTATTGAAGAAAAAATAATTGTTTTATTTTTAGATTTCCACAAAGCTTTTGACACTATAGAGCACCTCTGTATATTTAAATCCTTAAAGTATTTTGGTTATTTTTGTTGTTGTTGTTTTTTAACAGATTACCCGTAATTGACAATAGGCTTGTTTGGATTCTTTTTTCCAAGAGGTTGGGGACTAATTCATAGATGCAGTCATCCTGATTCAGCAGTAATATATTTCTAATATGACTCAACATATTTGAACATTGCATCCTCCAAAGCACAGCCTGCCTCACCTCAGTTAAGAAAGAGCCTGTCATAGTCTTGTCGCTGATGGCTGGCTTATTA